ATAGATCCTCGGATCATTGTACCCTAGGAGGGTATCACATTCCTAAGGACACTATGTTGTTAGTCAATGCATGGGCAATTCACAGGGACCCCAAGCTGTGGGATGAACCAACAAGTTTTAAGCCTGACAGGTTTGAAAATGGAGAAATTGATCATGAAACTAATTATAAGCTAATGCCATTTGGCCTGGGAAGGAGGTCTTGCCCTGGAATGGATCTAGCTCGCCGTGCTGTTGGCTTGGTTTTGGGGTCACTGATTCAGTGCTTCGAGTGGAAAAGAGTTGGTCAAAAGGAAATTGACATGACTGAAGGCAAAGGTGTGACTATGCCTAAAGCTGAACCTTTAGAGGCTTTGTGCAAAGCACGCAACATGGCAAATAAGCTGATGTCTTGACTGAAGTACCAGTGAACCAGTCTGAACTTATGAATAATAAAATTAATTCTATGTTTTATGCATTCTTTTTTTGTTATACTTCTAAAGTCATATGCTTCCATTTACTAGATATCAAGGGATCGAGCTCGATTATCCAGTTCATATGAAAAATTTGATAATAATACTTTGTAGTTTTTTAGTATAAAAGAAATTATAGTCCGAAAATACAAGAGATTATAAAAATTGGGAATTGAAGCCTATACTTACAAATATTATCTCTTAAAAATAGTTATATGATTCAACTGAATTAAGTTCAATATTCAATTTTTAATTTTTTTTCTAGAAAGTGTTAAAAAAAAGAAAAAATTGGCAATCATATATAAGATCCAGACTACCAGAGAAATGGATTTTGCTTTAATTTATTCATATTTCAACTTTAATTGATAACATGAAACCAATCTCTTCTGTCAGATAAAACCAGAATGTGATGAACCTATTCATGGAAGTTTTCTGTCACTTTTGTTTCTTTCTTCTTTTGTTTTGTCAATTAATTATGTTTTTTTTTTTTTTGTTTCATTCCATGAATCCAAGATTAGTTCCCTAAATTTGATACATTAAATTATTTTTATTTCTTAAGTTTATATTTAATTTTTTATTTAAACGTTAATATTAAGTATTAACAATGTAAAAAAAAAATCAAAAATAAAAATATTAAGTGGCAATGCACTGTAAAAATCCTTAATTTACTAGAAATTTCTAAATTCCTAGATTATGGTTATAATTAAAAAATATCTTTTTGTTAGAATGTAAAAATAAAACTTCACTGTTTTTTTTTTTTTTTTTACAAAAATTTAGTGTATTTTAAGTCTGGAGAAATATTATATAGTAAGTAAATTACATGTTTTTTAATAAATTTCGTAAATTATTTTGAAAAATTCGAACTTAAGTCTTTGAATATGTGAATATGAAATATATAGCACATATTATATTAAGACAAATACTCATGTACAACTTTCTCATTGAATCTTAAATTTGCATTTTTTTTCACCTATGCATGATCCTTATTTTTAACCTTTTATGTGAGAATGGATATAGAATTTCATCTTTTATTGTGGTGTAACCTAAACAATAAATTAAAAAAAAAATCAATAGATAGCATGAGCATATATGTCCATGGTCAGATCAAATTAGGTCCAATGATCTTTAAAATTTTTTGTCCAAACCTAATTGATTCATGAATAACAGACCTGATTTATTGTTCCAAAAATACTAAATATTAAAAATTAATTTATATATTTTTAAAATTAAATTAAATAAAAAATGATTTTTTATCCATTAAACTAGATTCCAGCTTCAAAACTCATGTCCCATCAGACAGGTTTAGACATGAGCCACTTGGTTAAGAAACATACAATCAAAGACACAAAAAAGTCAATTTAATTCACCAGCTTGAAAGAATCAACTCTATATATGTGAAACATGAAAATTGCTCACAAATGTATGGCAAATTGTCTTCATATTCTGACAACCTAGGAATGTTCTTCACTTTGTTGCAATTTGGACTAGTGGATCAAATTCCTTGGTGGGTGTTGAATTTCTAAACAGAATTTATATTAATTGGAATGTCAGATCACTACTTTTTGAATCAAGTTGGAATTAATTACAGCCATGCATAGTTAATTATCTTCTTACATCAAAGTAATAATTACTAAAATAATGAAACATTAGTGGAGAATATATAATCATAACTTAATTGTTTAAACATTTTTGGTTAAAAAAACCTATGCGTTCAAAAATTGTATCAAGTTTGCAATAAATGAGGAGAAAGTGGCATCAATGTCACCATATTTTGCTTGAACATCAGGGAATCATTTCACTTTTTTTTGTCTGCAAAAAGAAATTAATGTTTTTTTAGCCAATAGTTTTTCTATGTTTTCTAGCTAAGATGATAATAACAAATTAATTAGAGATGTAGCTAATTTTCAAATGTAAAAAAATCAAATTAAATTGATTTAAGGCAATTCACTCATGTAACAACCCTTAAAATATGATATCTAATAGATTTCAAATCAGTAACTCTTTTCCTATTTCTAAATTGCAATCTCTTTTGTAAAATATATATAAACTTTTATTATTAATTGAAGATTAGCCGCTAAGAAAAATTATGAAGATAGGCAGAGCTACAACATGGTATAAGAAGTAAACGACATGTCATTGATTAATGGGCAGATGTTGATGTAATTAATGAAGAGTTTATAGCTTTTTTATGAGATTTAAGTTGTAATGTTACGCTAACAAATTGATTCTCGAATAAATTGCAGCCATAAATTATCCATTATCACTTTTTAATTACTTTCATTTTCAGTTATGATATATATTAATACTTTTATACTTGTTCCAATAAACTCAATTAAAAATTTGAGTTTTTTAAATTAGAGGTATCAATTCAAATCTTATAATGAAAAATACGAGATCAATAAAAGGGTTATCTCTGTTATGTTACTTTGGTTATGCTATTTTTTCTTGCTAACAATCAAATATTAACAGTTGATTAGAACAAAAATAAATATAATAAAATATACTTAAATATTTAGTTCAGTTGATATATAATTTCATCTTAAGCGATATCAAATGTTCACTTTTCTAGATTAAAAGAAAAAAAAAAGTAATGCATGATAATGTGACACTTAACCAAACTTTTTTTTAATATGTAATTCAATAATTGCTTATTTTTTGTGAATCATTTGAACCAAACCCTCTTCTATGATCCAAAATTCATTGACAAAAATCCATTATACTCTTTACATATTAAAGGAGTCTCTTCCTATCCATAAATTAAGAATATGAATCTTATGACTTCAACAAGTACAATTATTAGCTTTGATGTGGTTTGTGCAAAAACAATTGGGGGTTGAAATTAATAATTGAATTTCTAAGTAGCATGTTCATGCATGCATGAAAAAATAGAGAGTAGGCATATGCTTTCAAACAAAAATCCAATGTTGTAGCATGTGACAAAAGCTTAACTTCTTTTGCACTTGAAATTGCACATTCATGGGAAAAAAAAAAAGTTTCATTCCTCAGCACTTATCCTTAGTTATCCAAAAGGAACCTAAAGGAAATGATATCAAGAAAATTCCATAACTCATCAAGGAATATATAAATTAGTTATGCCTTGCATATCTACTTTTTGTTTTTTTAAATCATCAAAGGATTATGAAAATTAGATTAATAGTTTCCAATAAAGCAAAAAGATTAATTACATATGTGATACCCCAATTATATTATATTAAACTTTCGATTTAGTACTTAAAATTAAAAAAAATAACAAACAAACAAACAAATTATTGTGTAATCAATATGACGGTATATATAAATTATTTATGTCTTGCATATCTTCTTTCTTATTTTTTAATTTTTTTAATTTTTATTTAAAAAAGAACTGCAATCTAAAATTAATATAAAACCCTTTCAAGCTATAGGCTTACACGTGTAAAACAGTTGTTTGGTAATTCAAAGTAATAAATTATTAGATCCCTCTAACTAAAACAATAAAAAAAAAAAACTCCCAAATTTTATCATTTTACTAAGATAATTTTTTTATATTTTTATTATATTTAAATAAACCTTTAATCTTTAATTTGCACTTAAATAAATCATTGATTTTTAATTTATATCTAAATAAATTTTAATTAATTTTAATTTGTACCTAAACAAACTCTTTACATAAATTAATCTTTTGTTTGAAATAAGAGTTTATTTAAATATAAATTCAAAGATAAGAGCTTATTTGGATGTAATAAAAATATAAGAATTTATTTAAGAAAAATAAAATAGTTTAAATGCTTTTTTAGTATGCTAGTGTTCCTTTTTCTTTCTTAATTTACCACCTTTTTTGCATTTAACTATGATTTGATTCCATTGCCGATTGATCATTGGATCAATTGATATGATATTAGAGTTAATGTTGGGAGAATGTGAGTTCAAAAAACTTATATACATAATGTCCTCATTAGCCAAATAAATATAAAAGTAAAAGGTTTAAAAGTAGATTAAAAAAAATTATGATAATGTTTGATTGTTTAAGAACCTTATCTTGAATTCTAATGTTTATCTAAATTCAATTATAAGTGTTGTTTTTATCAACTTTGAAATTAATGTCAAAGATATCTATGCAACCCAACAATTATTTAGCCTAAATTATTGGGCAAGATTAGGATATTTATTGATAAAGATATCTTCATTCCTCCAATTAGAAATTGTATGAATCCACCATTTCTTAGTTAGTTAGGTTGATGAGATTAACTAAAGGAGAAAATATTGTGGCAACTAATCATTGCTATTCCCTTCTTAATTAATGTCATTATCTAATCACAATCTCTCTATAATATAATTGTCTTAATGTTTTCTCTTTTTGGTATTATTAAAATAAATTACAATTCTATGGCATTTTTTCTTTTTTTAGTTAATAATTGTCCGACTTGAAAATAGTTATGCTAATTATTAAAGCATTTGAAAACTAACTATACAATAATTTAATTAATAAATCTAATTTACTATTTGATATCACAAACTTTCACGTTTATCTTAATTTTAACCTAACTTAAAGAACAAATGTCAATCGTTTAAATGTGTTTATAAAATTTTAAAAAAAAATTCAACAGATGTATCATATAATAATATTTGAGTCAATATGCTAATTTTAATATGAATAAATTAACTTTTTTTATTTTAAAATCATTTAATATTATACATAAATCTCACAATTTAAAATACAATATAATGATACGATACAAACACAACATGAATATAGGATACGAAAGTAATACGACTTAAAATTTTAATAATAATTATACATAAATTTAATAAAATTAAAAATATATATTATTTATTTTTATTTCGAAACGAATTATAACATGTAATTTTCGTACAAAACAAAATATAATTATATGAATTTCAATATTATACATGAACGATCAGATCTAATTATACATGTCCAAGTTGAAAGAAATCAAAATCTAACACGTTCTCAATGGTTCTACATATATTCGGTCCTTAATTCTTCGAAGATTTGTGGAGAAGATGGATAGATTGCTGCGATATCTTCATCGCATGGCATAAAGTATCTTCAATGATTCTGCTGGACATATATTCTGTCTTTATTTCTTCACAAGATTTGTTGAGAAGATTAGATTGCTGTAAAATCTTCACTGCATGGCATAAGGTATCTTCAATGATTCTGATGAGCTGAAAAAAAAAATGTTCAAAAGAGTAACAAAGGCATATTTTATAGGATAAATTTTTTAAAAATAATTAATTAATAAAGTTCAATATGAAAATTAATAATATTTATAAATTATTAAAATGTTATGTATAATTAAATTTTGATCAATATTTATTTGATCTATTGATTTTAATTTTCAATTTAAATTTTTGCTTAATCATTTTTAGTAAAAAAATTTCATAAATTTCACTTAAAAAACATCTTATAAATCTTTTCTTACTTTATAACATCAACTTGAGCCCAACCAACCTTATCCATTTTATCACATTGAAACAACAACTAAGATTTCACTAAATTTGAAACTTAATTTAATCAGTTTAATTATTTTTAAAAGTAGCATTCAGTAAATTTTAAGTTCGAATTTTAATATTTAAAACTCATTTTTTTATTTTTAAGTTACAACTTTTCATATAAAAAAATAAAAATATATATTATTTTCAATATATTTTTTAAAAAAATTAAATTTAAGTATTTTTTTATAAAATTGTATAACAAAATAATATTATAAATGAGATCCATGTTAAATTAATAGATTTAAATAGGTGACTTGATTTTACTAAAGAACAAAAGCAAATACACCCTTTTCTCTTATTTTTTTTGTACTTTATTAATTTTAAATAAAAAATTAAATTAAATTAAATGAAAAAGTAAATTGTCAAACAATTGTGATTTATAGATAAAAATGTTAGGGTTTTAATAAGATTCAATTTTTGATAACTTTAAATATTATAAAAAAGAGAAAATATTAAATCGAGTAATGGAGATGTTTTGATATTCAAAAACTCAACTAGAGCAATATTTTCAATATATATATATATATATATATATGTATATAAAACATAGAAAAACCTTTAAAATTTTTTTTCTTTGTCTCTTTCTCTTTATTCTCTATCAAAATCCCAACAATCCAAAACACCAAAAGTCAAAGAAATACGCCAGGAAACACATGGCAAGCAAAGGTTGGATTTGAGGCAAAAGAAATATCCACTTGGGTGTTGACTGGTGCATCCTTGTGCCAAAAAACAGACACGAAAGGAATAGCTTCACATGGGTTTTTAGCCTTGGTTTTTCCTTGACTCCCGAAGACTTTCAACTCTTTCTTGGGCTTATAAATACCTTAGACAGATTGCCAGCAAACGATATCTCCTCAAATCAACATTCTTCACGTGCTCTCTCTCCCTGTAGCTTTCTCGTTCTGTTTTGCTTTGCTTTCCATTGCTGCTCTATCAGCCTTCTTTAGTCTATCTGTTTCTTTTTTTATCCACTGCAAGCCTCCTTTTTGTTTGGTTTTTTTAGGGCCGTTTCTGTTAAGATCTATCAAAGTAGTTTTGTTCGTTGGTTGACAAAGAAAGCTTTTAAGAAAAACAAAACAAAAAAAAAGTTTTACTTTTCTGGTATGGAAAACAAAAGGCAAGTGAGTGGTTCTTCTTCTTCTTCATCATCATCATCATCTGTTTCTTTGGATCATCTCTTTGGTCCCAAGGACTCTTCTTCTTCTTCTTCATCCACAAGTGGGATTTTTGACACCATTTTCCCTCCTCCATCAACGGTAAAAAAAAAAAAAAAAACCTGGTTTTAAGACATTTTTCTCATCAATTTGTATTCATAAATGATACAACCTTGTTGATTTTTTATGGTTTAAAATGAAAAAAAAAAAGAAAATTCCGTTTACTCTTTAGGCAACTATGTACTTGAAAATATATGAAATTTTGGTACTGAGAGGTAATTCTTGATTGGAAGTTAAGAAGTTGATGTATGTATAGGATAAAGATGGTTTATTGTTTAATTAGTTTGTACATTTCTTTCCAACTTCATGGAATTGGCTTTGAATGATGATCAAAAGTTGATGTGATTTATATTTTTAAGTGAATGATTCTTGAAAAGATGCAGAGAGAAGCTTATATATAATACACTAAAGTCTGTTCATCAAGTGCTTGTTGTAACCTTTTTTTATGATTCACTTGGTCGGTAGATATACTAGCTAGTGGAGTATACTCATTTTTCTTTTGAATATTTTAACTTTTCTAAGTGATTTGCATCATTGATGAAAGAGAAGGGATATTGGAAGTGAAGGAGAAGAAAGAAAATGTAGGCTGATTGGTATATTCCAATAGTTGCTAGAATTAGTGCTTTTGGATTAGACTGTGCAATAGAACTTGACCCTGGTGACTGGTAACTATGCATGGCTTCTCTTTATTGTGATTATCCTTCTTTTTGTTCTAATTTTTATAGATTTTGCTGGTTGTTTTAAATGGAATTGTGCTGCAATGGTCTGAATTGTTCTCTTTCTGATTTCAGGTGCTAGGGAGGGACTCCAGTCACTCTGGAATGATGGGGTCATGGAATAATCAGGGTTTGCCCCATCATGGCAAATATGGAAATCCAGGTTTGTCATGCCTTGTTGCTTTTGTCATTGCCTTTTGTGCTGGTTCTTAGATGAGTAGCAGGAAACCTTGAGTTCTTTTAATTTGATAAAAACAAACTATATGAAGTTGCTTTTACTGGATTCTCAAGCAACTGATGACATGAGAAAGCTGGATGAGAGAATATAATGTGAATCCTTCACATTTTTGTTTCAGATCACACCACTGATAGCAAGGGACAAAGCAGTGGCACAACTAACAAAGACAAGAGTTCGTCCGTTTATCATAATGAAACAGTGGAACCTTGCAATCTCAGCTCATCTATCTATTATGGAGGCCAAGAAAATTATTCTCCAAGGAAGAAGACCACTGAGTCTCCCCATTATGTAACTATAACACAAATTACAATATTCCTTAACAAACACTTTGTATAGGTCCTGCATCTTGCTTTCTCTACATGCTAACTACCAGGGATTTCTCTGTTCTTGGTCTTTTGTTTTGACAGTTCAAGAAGGATGGGGGAGATGATGATCCCAATGGAAACAATTCTGGTGGTGCTTCAAGAGGGAATTGGTGGCAGGGTATGAAAGCTGTGGATTTTTGTTGATAAACAAAATACTCTTCACTGTCCATAAAAATTATAGTATTGAACAATCTTTAATCAATTTATTCTTTGTTTGTACAGGCTCACTTTATTACTAACATCTTAATCCAAAATAATGCAAACTTTCCATCCCAATACTTTAAGGTATATATTAAAAATTGTCTGATGGATCTCCTTTTTGCTTTATCTGTATATATATGCACCCTTCTGTTTTACATTTTTTTTTCTACATTCACCACTTTGAAAATTTATTCATAGAGGATTCAACTGACAAGGAAAAGAATTCACCCCACCTTATTTGTGCTTGACTTTTATGCATATGCCTGTTACAGGCCAAACAAAAATATAGCAATAATAATAACAGTTAAAAAACACAGAAACCAATTTTCTTTTATGTTCTTGGCATAATATTTCTTCTTATAGTCTAGCATACTTCCATATTTCTTTGATCAAGCTGATTGAAATTATATCTGTGGACTATTTTGCAGGAACACTAGCAGCATAATTAATCGTATTATTACTATGGAAATAAGCTGGTAGATAGCTAGCAATACAGTAGAAGCATATAGAGCATAACACAGCTTAGGACTTTGAGGAAGAATGTTGACCCTGTAAGCTGTTATATTTAGGGCAGACAGCTCAGAGCACGCCGGATTCATGTATTATACGTTTATCTACTTTTCTTTTGCCTGACTAATCTAATCCTCTTGTTCTGAACTATGCTCTGTGGGATTTTTCCCACAAGAAAATGGATTACTATAACTATATATTGACATATATAGTATACCCTTCTCTCATCTTGATTTCACTTTCAAGATTGGATGCATTTTAGCATCTTTTATACAATGAATGATCACAAAGAGAAATTATATGTTGCCAACAGTCATGTGATCTGTAGTTCCGGTGACTGGATTCAAATTCTGGTTTCCATATTCTGGTTTATTTTATAGGAATCATGCAAGATAAGGGTTTCAAGAATTCCATTTATTGAGGAGAGGTTTTTGAGCATTGAGCAGTAAGAAAATACTTGAAGTTATCGAAAGATTACTGAACACAATCTTTTATGTATCATTCAAATACATCACCAGGAACCATGACTTGTGCCTTCATGCTCAAGCAGAGTGTAATCTGCAAAATGTAAGAAGCAATTTCAAGAGATGCAAATGAAGAAGGAAAATGAGAGTCAAACTTGGTGAATCTTGTAAAAGCAGAGGAAAAATGGATAAAGAGTCTGTAAATAATACTGTAAAAATAAAATATACCTCCACATTTGTAACCCATGGGACGATCTGCAATGTTGCAGCGTTTAGGAATGGTCACAGCAACTTCTGGCTTGATTCCAGAACTCTTAGCTGTGTTAGAAAGCATAACAGCGCAGAGACATCTTGGATTCTGGCCTATTTTCCTCACCTGTTGGCAGCAACTGTCAGACACTTGAGCATTCAAATCTTGTGCTGCCATTGCACAAGGAGCCAACTTCCAGGCTTCACTGTCAGGGGATGATCTCCCACATTCACCAGCTCCTTCTGCTACATTGAGCTCAGCAATGCCAAAAATAGCAAGAAACACCAAAAAGCAGATGCACTTCATTTCTTCAATATTGCAATGCATAAACACTTCTCAACTTCAAAATTTATAGTAAAACCAATCAACTAAAAACGTTTTTAATGAGTAATACATATGAAACCCACAAATCGTAGTGGATGTAGCACTAGAGAAAAGTGTTTTGTTTATTGCAGCACCTACTACTCCAATGGCGGTTAGTGCCTGCTAAAGCCATTACTGTAATTCCACTACTTCTTTATCCTGAAGGGGCAAAAAGAACCTTTTCATGAGAAGCTGACAGCATAGCATCTAACAAGTTCGACTTCTATCTACATATCCATTACCCTCTCTCTCTAGAGTCAAAGGAGATCGCAATATGGGAATATTAGAATTTGAACACCAGACTTGCTGGATATTGTCTCTTATGAATGACTGCATGTACAAATTAAAACTCGGGGAATCAGATAATCAATGTTCCTTGTAAAGTCCTCCTGGCAACAATTCGTGTGAAGTTCATTGGCTTAATGAAAGAGTTCCTTACAAGATAAAGAGAATAAATGAATGGTATATGTCGACAGTTCTATTGCTTTTACTCCTAGTGTTAATCCAAAATTCTAAATTCTCTCTTTTCCTAATCGGCTAACCCTCATCTCTTTTTTTATTTTTTAATCATTTCTTCCACAGAGCTAGCTACCCAAATCTTCCTCCTCACCAATATATAGGATATCGGTCTGTTGGCATGTTGTCCTGCTTTATAAATTCCAAATACACCAGATAAACATCGCTTGTAGTTAACCACTATTTACTAGTAAAAAGCCAGTGAACTGCACCCGAATCATTTCATTATCTGAGAATTTAGTTCAATGATTGATGTATCAATCGCTGTTCAATAAGCAAAGTTTGAATGTCCCATCCCCGAATTTAAAAAAAAAAAAAAAACCAGTGAATTCTTAGTGGACCACTTGCATGATTCACTTTCATGGCAGAACCAAGCTGGTCTACTCTATTTGCTGAATCACCAACTGTTCTCTTCTTGCAACTTGCCACTCATATCGTTTAGGATATGCGATCTTAGCTCACTTGAATATGAAACATCCTAAAAGCCTCATTAGTTCAACAACATCATATAAAAGTCAATGATATCAGTTAGATTGTTCACCTCAAGTGACCCTCTCCATTATTGATCCTATTGACAGCATAAATTGGAGAAAATGGTTTTCGAGCAACAAGCAAATGTTTTGCAAAGAAAACTAACCTTTTATTTAGTATTATTAAAGGAAACAACTATACTTCGATTTATTATTCAAAGATCCAACTGCAGTTTTATTTTTCACTCAAACAGCTGGATGTCACAGTGAAACTCATCAACTAGATTGACTAGCAACAAGAACAAACCATGGGAAGCACAGGACGACGAACAATGGGAGCCTTCACACTTAAAGGAGAGGGAAAACTGCAAGAAATAAACAAAAGCTTCATGAGAATGGAACTAACACTAGCAGCATTATATAAAAGCAAGGGAGAAAAGGTGTAGCCAAGAACACATTATGTAATATGCGAATTCTACCTCCACACTTGTGACCGACAGGACAAACAGCAATGTTGCAACGTTTTGGAATGGTCACGGCAACTTCTGGCTTGATTCCAGCGTTGTATGCTGTATGTGCAAACATAATAGCACAGAGGCAACTTGGATTCTTGAGCTTTTTCTCCATTACAGTGCAGCAACGGTTGGAAACTGGAGCTTTCACATCTTGGGCTGCCTTTGTACAAGGTGCCAGCTTCTCAGCTTCCTTCTCAATGTTATGTTTCCCACATGGACCATAATCATCATGTCCTTCCACTCCATTGAACCCAGCAATGGTCATTATCACAAGAAACGCTAGAATACAGATGTACTTCATTGGAGCTTCCATTTCTTCAACAAGTTGTGCTGAAAGAAAGATGCTTCTCAACAATTTATGCTGAAACAAATAGCTAAAAAATATCCAAATACATGTGAATTCCACCATTACAATGCATGTGGAACTAAAGAAAAGTCTTTTATCAGCTGCAGCACCTACTATTCCAGAACATCGATTCAGAGTTACCTGACCATCAAAGGTCAACAATTACATCTTGTTTCTCTGGAATCTCTTCCAAACGACCTTATTAAACCCATCCACAGTTTACACATTCATGGAAACCAGAATCATGAAATGCAAGCCGACATTGATACATCTATAAACAACTAAGGTATCATTTCAAGCTGAACACACAGCATTAGCTTATAAAAACCTAGTATATTGACTACCTTACCTTCTTCTATTCTGCCTTCATAGCATGTTTGTGGGCTGATAAGCTTGTGGTTTTTGGGTCTTTATTCCTGCTACTTTCTCATCTGTAACTCATTAAAACAATGTTCTAAGACTTCAATGCCTGCAGTAACCTCAATAAGCAACTTGTTTCCCAGTTCATTTGTCGGTGAAATACAAAATCTAGCAATTTGTCAAACACTACTCACTGTTCTGCAACGTAGAGCTGATCTCCACCGACTTGATACCTGCACTGTCCTAACCCATTAAAATTAGATAATAAAGAAAATTTCTTCACCAGTTCTGTCAAAAACCCAAACAGATCTGGCAAACTACGAACTAAAAGTCTAACAAATATGTTCATTTCACATCTTTATGACAATAAACCCCTCTCTTCCTCGTTGTACGGAAAGAACACAAATGCCATTCCTTGAAATTACGAAGTTAAAATTTCAATGTGATCACATCCAGTAGAACATACTGATATCCTATATTTTCATTTTCTGTATAATCTCAGCTAGATTATACAACAATAATAACAACAAAATCAAAAGCCCAAGTGAAAATACAGTATCAAAACAACTTTTCATACAAGAAAAAGATCCCCAGAAGAAACCAAAAACCCAAATGAAACATCAACAACAATTCTCGAAGTTCCAATCTGTATAGCCTTGTTCCATTATAATTCTGGAATCATAAGGGTTCCACGTTAGGCCGATGAAGACGGCGAGCGTGAAGAGGGAGTTCACGTTCACAACACTGTCCAGGGCGGTGACATGGATGCTGGTTGTCATGATCGGACGATGGGGAGTTTCAGTAGAAAGATCAGACGGCGGAGATCTCTCTGTTTCCATTATGCTGAGGACGTTTTAGTTAGTTCGTTTAAGGTTGTGAAATTCACGGCCTTTTTTTGTATTTCATTTTCCCAGAAAATGCGTAGAAGAAAAGTAAAAGTTGAAGCAACAGCATTTCGGCTTTGGGAAAAAGGTACGCCGTTGCCGGGGATCGAACCCGGGTCACCCGCGTGACAGGCGGGAATACTTACCACTATACTACAACGACTTGGTTGGAAAAGCTGTTCAATTATATAATATATTTAGAAACTAGCAACACCCAGAAGAACCAAGGGCAAAATTAGGAATGTTCGATCAATTGGATAAATTTCAAACCGAATTTTTCAATCAAATTTAATTTGGCCGATTTAGTTAACCAAACAATAAATATATTTAAATTAAATTGTATTTTAAACTCTTAATTTCTTATATTTTAAATAAATTAAATAAATTATCTAATAAAATATTCAAATATTATGTTAAAAATTCTAAAATTTTATGAAATAAAATAATTTATTTTATATTTGAATTTTTTATATTTTGATTAATTTGGTTAATTTGGTTTTCAAATCAAATTAATTGAAAATTAAATTTATCTAAAATCTTTTTCATTAATTAATAAAAATTAATTTGATGATCAATTGATTCAATTAATTAATTCAATTAAATTCGAATTATAAACACTCCAAAATAAGATAAAATATAACAATAGAGTTGTTTAATGTTTAGTTGTTCATAGATTTTTGGTTGTTCTCAAAGGTGAAAAATATTAGTAAGATTAACATGAGATTTAACTTGAATGATTCATTTGAATTCTCATAAGTTTGCAATTCGATCCCTGCACTTTTAAATTGACTGTTTTTTGTCAATAATTATATTTTATGTCAAATGAAAATGAATGCTCGGTATTTTTCTTGTTCATTGTTGATAACTCATTTGGAAGGAAGGGTGGTGAAATTTAGGTTGTATTATGCAATGTTTTCAACTTACTCAAAAACATAGTGATCCATATGAACTTATGTATGGATTTGACTCTTTTTCAATAGCTTGTGATTTTCTTACACCAAAGAAAGTCCAATTTTTTATTCTCCACATGAATTACGTATGTAGTTGAGGCCATCATAACCAGTGCTTCCTCTTTTTTTTTGGAGAGTTATGAAATTCAAGTATGCTATGTTGGATTTTCAAAATCCAAATGCATTTGATTATAGTAGTTTAAGCTAGCAATGCCATTTTGAAAAGTCATTGTAGTTTAACTTCGGCTTTCTCCTTGGATGTTCCTGTGCAGGCCTCTTCTGTCTTGGATACAACATTCTTTCTACTTCTGTTTCTGTAATAAGAGCATTTGGTCTAGTGGTATGATTCTCGCTTAGGGTGTGAGAGGTCCCGAGTTCAATTTTCGGAATGCCCCCATTTTATGGTTTTCCCTTTGACTTTTATGTAACCATTTATGCACAATAAGCAGAAGAGAAAATGCGAACAAACATCTCATGGCTATATTTTATGTCATCTCAGTTACACACGGTTAACATCCTAAAAAACAGTAAACTGCTTTGATATAAATAGCAGCTGCTTCAAATGAACTACAAGAATCAGTAACACAACCAAAAAGATATAAAATTTAACTCGTACACATCAGTATTTTGCTACAACCAGAAGTTTTCCGTCATTAAGTATTCTATTTGTCATACCTTATTCTTTTCCTCTTCTCAGAAAATCTCAGTGACAGTATATCGCGGAGGATTTTGTCGCATTCTCAACCTATTCTGGTATGCTGATGATTGTTTGATATAACTTGATCCTTTTGATTCCCTGAGCTCTCAGTACTGTTTGAGTTCAGAATTGATGAACCATCTGTTGGATTGCCACATAACTTTGCTTTTGAATCAACTCCAAGATAATTAGTCAAGACCCTCTTCACTCCAAAGCCACGGCGGTGAGGCTTGCTGTTGTTGTTGGTCGTGTTGTTGTTGTTGTTCTCCTTGAGAAATGGAGTTCTCTCTCCCTTTGCAGGGCTGATCAGTGGTGCAGGTGAAAAACTTGGTGTGGTGATTGCTGTTTTGTAGGGACTGCTCGAGGCAGGCACAGAATATGGGATTGAAACCTTTTTGTGTGCAATTACACTAACTGTAGGAACCGATGCCAACTTTTCTGAAAGCTTCGTTAAGTCATCTACATATAACAAATCATCAATGCGTGCCACAATGTTATATGCCAGGCTTTCCAGAACTCTTGAATAGCTTTCAAGAATGGACTTTCCGACATCCTGGAAGTTTAAAATAAGTTATAATTGAACAACAATTGGAGGGAGAATCAAGTAGCCTTTGGCAAAACTAGATATTTTCAGAAAAGGGATTCAAACCTTGTTGCACTGGATTTTTCTGGTATCCAAGGCAGTTTGAGTCAAACCAGGGAACCTTTGTTTCAAGCAAAGCAGGAGATTTTCGGCTCTTTCTGCTAGCAATTCTCTCTGGTCTCCATTAACCATTAGGTCTTTTACCATTTCCCATGATGACTTTGTAGTAGATTGGTTTGGATTGATTGGAGGCTTCGAGTGAAATTTTCAAAAGATTAAAAGATACAAACTTTTCCCATGCTTTCTCAGCGGACAGCAACCAAGGAGGATTATACAGATTGAGAAAGTCACTTTTCAAATTTCACATGATTCTGAATTTTTTCTTCATTTTTTCCTTTTAATGCAACAAAAAATGATTCTGGGCTACTTTAAAGACGACAATTACCTCAAGCTTACTTCCATCTGGAAAATTTTGCTAAGAGGGTATCAATTCAACAATGTGGTCACTAACACTAACAAGCCACTCCATCTCTCTTTTCCACATGGATTTCTTCTCCTCATGTATAGGCTCTAATCTCCACAATTGCCCAAATATAGTAGCTACATAGAGTATTTACAAATTTAATAAGTTCACAAAATAACAAAGTTAATTAAATTGGAACAAGAACCTTAAAAATCCATAAATTCAAAGAGAGAGAGAGAGAGAGAGCATGCCACAGAGATTGGTAATGGCATTTGAAATAGCCAAAGCTGTGCAAACCCCTTTTCCTGACCCTGACATGTCTTCACCAAGCAGCAATTTTGCAAACCTCTCCTTCATCATGTCAATCTCTACTTAAATTTCAAAAAGAAAAAAGAATCAGACTTTTTTTGGCCAAAAAACAAATCCATGTGGGATTTATGGAATGACAGAAAGCTACCACTGCCTACCTAACCAAACATCAGAAAGCCAAAATACAAAATTTAAACTTAAAAACAACATTACTAACCATTAATCTTTGAACTCAGTTTTTTAAACTTGTCATCTTCATTACTAATCTTGTCTTCATCTCCATTGCCATCAGCAACATCTGAATTCTTTGACACTGTAGCAGGAGTAGTAGTAGTAGTAGCAATAGCTCTCCTTATAGGCCAACCCAAAAGAGAAGGAGGTGAAGCTGAAGCAGACCCTGACCCTGACACTCTAGCCTTATTAACCTTAACTTTGTCAACCAAATTCCCTGAACTTGATCTACTGGAACTACTACTATTACTACCCTCTTTAGACTCACCACTATTACAACTACTCAACTCACTTGCAGACTCAGTCCAATCATCTTTCTTCTTCAACAAAGCCTCCATTTGTGGAAAGGGTACCAACTTAACCAACTACCCTTTTCCTTATCTCTGAAAAAACATACAAAAAAAAAAAAAGGCTAAGCCTTTGGGTTACCAAAGAAGACATTTGCTGGGTGGGGTTAATAGATTTGATTTTTGAACTTTCAGAAGAAGAAGATATGGGCCCGTGCCATTGGGGTAACGTCTCTCATTGAAAAACTGGTTTTGGATCGTTTGTTTTGATGGATTTGTATTTGTCTCTATTTTTAGCTTTCGCTCTCAGCTCTCCGAGTGGAGAATACGTTCAAAATATTGATAAAATAATGGAGGCCCGGTCAGTCGTCGGCTATTTTAGAGTGTGTCAATCCACGTGAACTTACGCTTTTACCCTGCCTCCAAATAGTAGTAAATTTTTTCCATTTTTTAGTGAGAAAAACAAAGTGTCACTAAAAGTTTAAATTTTTTTTCAAAAATTAAAGTAGCCTATTTGAATTTTTCATGATATATAAAATTTTTAAAAGAAAATGTTAAAAAAATATGTGATTAGAGTTCAATCAAGTGGAGTTTACATAAAATTAATTAAATGTGTTACTTCAATAATTCTATTTTTTTCTTATTTATGCATAAAAAAGATATTTACATTTTTATTTTATTTGGTGACGTATAAAGTAATATATTTTTTTTTATAAAAATGGTATTAATAGTTGAAAATAATAATTTTTTTTTAATTTTTAAAGAAAATAAAATTCTATAAAATCTTTTTTACTACTACTAATTAGTGATTTTATGAGAATCTATAGAAAAATATAAGCAACTATCAATAATTTGGAATGTTAGTAGCTACAATTTAAATTATAAGAATTAATTTTTTTTAAATTATTCCAAAATTGTAAATAAAAGTATTTTCCAAACTTGAA